TTCTTTCATATTGTCCCTGGAATTGTTTTTACTCCCACTATCCATTATATTTTTATCCCACTGTTCCTCTAAGGAGCTCAAGGAAACAGGCATACATAATTCTTTTCTTTTACCCTCACAACAGCCCTGTGAGGTAGATTAGGCTGAGAGACAATGAACTTCAAGGCAAAGGCTAAAGTCATCCAGTGAATTTCATGGCTTAGTAGGGATTCAGATCTCCCCACTACTAGTTCATCACTCTAATCACTATACCACACTGGTTCTCATTGGGAGAAGAATATTGGAACCTTGATTTATGTGTGTTGTGCATTTTTGCTATTTCCGTCCATCCTGACCCTGTGTTACTACAGTGAGTCAGTCAGCCTTTATTGGCATAAAACAATACCTTAAAAGAGGGTTACTATAAAAAAGAGGATTATACATATAAAAACATATAAAACCATACATATAGAGCCAAGCATATTACATAATGTTTCATAAAACAATTTGTTACAAGGTATTACTCAGTTTTTCCTGTCGTAGCTTCATAGCTGATTGTAGAAACATGGCTACCTTCCTTGATATTTCAGGAGCAGAGTCCATCATGTTGGCTAAAACAGGGTTTAAATATCTAAAATGTATCTCTACATAAAATTGACAATGCAAACAGATATGTGAAACTGTCTCAATGCATCCAGAGTTACAATGGCAAAGTCTGGCTGTGTATACTATGTTGTTGTATCTGCCATGCAAGACTGCTGATGGCATTAAATTGAATCTTGCTAGAGAAAAAGCTCTGCACTGTTGTGGTGCTTGTATATCAGATAAGTACAAGAGGGGGACCCGCGATACTCGCGGGGGGGGAGAAGAGCTCCGAATGGGGCCATTCGGCCTACCATGAGGGGGATCTCAAAGTTCAGAGGGGAACAAGATTTGTTGGCTAAGCTGTATAGCCTTTGTATTTCAATGTCAAGTACTCTGCATATAATCATCTGAAAAGCGCCCATGAAAGGGAGCATAAACAGTGTCCAATGGGATATCCATAGCAGTTATTTTGTTCTCAATGTGTAATAGCCAGTTAGACACGTTTGACTCTGTGAGCATTTGTTGTTTAAGGCTTCCTTGGTCTACACTGTAGTGTAAACGCAGCCAGTATTTTACTGTCGTAAGCTACACACCAGATTCCACAGAGTTTAACCCAGTTTCTAGACATAAGGCTGCATAAGGTACACAGCGCGGCATTCCCATGATCTCAAAGAAATTTAGATTGAACACGTTCAATGGTGCCATTAAGTGCACTTATCCATATTGGAATGCCATACATGAGTTGGGGAATTACTTTGGCCTTGAAGACCTTTAGTGCAGCTGGTATAAACTGATTGCCCCTGGTGTAGAAGAATCGGGAAATAGCAGAGGCATTGATGTTGGCCATATTTATTGCTAATTTACGTTGCACAGACCAAGATGCATTATACTGGAAATGCAAACCTAAGTATCTAAAAAGTTTAACTTGTTCAATTGGTTTGCCTCCAATTGTCCATTTGAATGGTTTCCAAGTTTTGGATAAGACAAGTATTTTTGATTTTTAATGGTTTAGAAGTAATTTGTTATAAAATATGAAAGGCATCTATTTAGTGAACACTTTAAACCAACTTTGGAGCAGGACAATAGTACCATGTCATCTTCATATAACAGCAGAGGGGCATGGACAGAGCCCAGTTTAGTACCATGGCAATCAACAGCTGCTGGTAACATGGGGGTATGGCCTAATATGCTAATAAGCTGTACTATCAGGGGTGTGGCCTAATATGCTAACGAGTTTCTGCTGTTGGGTATGGCTTATTATGCTAACGAGTTCCTGCTGGGCTTTTTCTACAACAAAAGCCCTGTAAATCTCTGTCTTTTAAACTAGAAGTTTGATTCATTTTACAAGGTAGATGGGTAGTAATTGCTATGTGCCCTTATTTCCAGGCTAAATGTAAAGGATGAATGGATTGACAGGATACTGCCCTGCCCCCAGATAACAATAGAGAAATAAGGGCTCAGGGAGCTCAATTTCTGTCTGTATCTGGTGAAAGAAGTTTTGACTTCTTTCACTGAAAATCTTGTTGATCTTTAAGGCGTTTCTGTGCTCGAATCTAGCTCTTCACTCTCAAAATATAAATGTGTTTAGTTGCCCACTCACTGAAAGTGAGATCAGGGTAATACAGTCAAATAGAGGAAGGGCTGCACATAATACAGAACCATTTTTGTGGAGCTCATTGTTATATACTTGATGTAGCTGACCGTGAGTATAAATGGTTTAGAGGACCAGATAGAGGCCAAAATAGCCAAAGGGCAGCCTCTCTTTGCAGAGACCATGTGCCGCTACCTAAGGAGATCTTCCGTGGTATTCTACTTGTGAACTTATCTTAGTGTGGAAGATGATGAGCTCAGAGCTGCTTTCAGTTCTTTTGGGAGAAATCCAGTGCCTGTAACAACTGCATACCATCAGTCAATATATACAGTCAATTCATCTCATGTTGGGTCTTCCTCTTTTCCTGCTGCCTTCAACTTATCCCAGCATTATTGTTTTTTACAGTGACTCTTGTCTTCTCATAATGTGACCAAAATACAACAGCCACAGTTTATTCATTTTAGCTTCTTGGGAGTGTTCAAGCTTGATTTGATCTGGCACCCACTTACTTTTTGGTGGTCCAAAACTCTCCTCCAATATCACGTTTCAAATGAATAAATGAATAAACTTTCCTCCTGTCAGCTTTCTTCGTTGTCCAGCTTTCACAGCCATACATAGTAATACAGAATCAGTAAGCTGCAAAGGTTTGTGTGGAATACAGTGTTTCCACAGGCAGTGCTAGATGTAAAAGCCTTGTGCTATGCTAATAGAAAGGCCGCTTAAGAATCACCCCCCCACACACACACACACACAAAAGAACAATTAAGGCATTAAGAAAGAATGCAATGAATGGATGAGTTGGTTTCAATTTTTTAGCCCATTGATCATAGTGAGAGAGAATGCAGCATGAGTTGATAGTTTCTGTAATGTGCCACAATGTTCATGAATTCACATCACTGTATGTTCTAGACTGACCATAGGCATGGCAGTGTAGTCTAGACAGCACATTGTCAACTGAAAAATAGATTCCCTTTGTTCCTCTCCCCCTCCCCCCTCCAACTGACTGTAAAGGTACTTTAAGAAAACCACTGACGAGTATCCAAAATATCTCAGGGGGTGTTCAGGAAGATAAGTCATATAGCTTGCAGGAATTTGATGGAAAACAGAAATTCATAACTGCTCTCAAGGCGCAAGAGTAATTTTTCATTAACCTGCTTTTATACAGCTGATTTATTGTACCCTGATAAAGCTGAACAAAGTTTGAGCCCAGTGGCACCTTTAAGACCAACAAAGTTTTATCTATGATATAAGCTTTGGTGTGCATGCACACTTCTTCAGATACAATTGCATGGAGCTTTGTTCTGCTGCTTCAGACCAACACAGCTACCCTGATAAAGCTGAGTTGGACCACTGGCCTATCAAGTATTGTCTACTCTGATTGGCAGCAGCTCTCCCAGTCCTCAATATCACCTCCTATCTGATCCCTTTAAATGGAGCTGCTTTTGATGGAAACTGGGACCTTCTGTGTTCCAAGCAGAAGCTCTCCCACTGAGCCAGGGCCCCACCTCTGAACCCATATAGTTGTGCTATGCAAAGCTTCTGGGAGACCAACTTTTTGGAACCAGGTGCCAGTGGTCACAGGGTAATGGACACTAGAGAGAGACATGTTGATTGCTGGTGGGAGCTTCCATGAATCTGGCAAAGGCATTGGAACCAGTGTTCCCTCTAAGCTGAGTTAGTGTGAGCTAGCTCACCATTTTTTAGCCTCCAGCTCACAGATTTTTGACTCAGCTCAGGAAAGATGGCTCCAGAGCAAACTATTGTAGGCAGTAGCCAAATTGGCCACTCACAACTTTAATGCCAGGAGCTCGCAAGGTAGAATTTTTGCTCACAGGACTCCACAGCTTAGAGGGAACATTGATTGGAACCCTGTCAGAAAGGAGGAGGAGGAGGAGAGATTGGATTTATACCCCACCCTTCACTACCTGAAGGAGTTTCATTGTGGTTTACAATCTCCTTTCCCTTCCCCTCCCCACAACAGACACCCTGTGAGGCTCTGAAAGAACTTGTGACTGACCTGAGGTCACACCAGAAACTGTGTGTGGAGGAGTGGGGAATCAAACCTGGTTCTCCCAGATTAGAGTCCAGGCTCCTAAACCACTACACCAAACTGGCTTCTTTCTGCAAGAACGCATGTTTCTTAGCAAAGAAAAGGAGAGATCTCAGGTATTCTTATTCAGCCTCTACCAGAGCCTTTCATTCAAGAAGCTGCTGGGTGTTTGGAGAGTGTAAATGCAGCAATAAGGTCTCTGGGACCATCAGATGCTTCATCCCCGATCATTTATTTATTTATTTCGGACTGTAATCAGTGGATTTCCACTTTGGGAAAGGGGTCAATTTGAAAAGGACCAAAAGCACGAGTTTACTTCGTTTGAATGTCCTTTCAGGCTGTTTAGCATCGCTGTGCCGAATGGGAGAAAGAAACCAATACGGTGAATCCTCGAGGAACTGTCGACTCGTCGAGCAGCCAATGGCTGAAGACCAAGCTTTGGCGTTTCAAGGTCTCGAAAGGATAACAAGGACCGGCGATTTCCACTAGAGGGCGTCCCTCCGTGTCCGAATAGACCCCTCTCCGCCGCCTGCAGCCTCTGATTCTATTTCATCTCTTGGCAGCTGTGCAAAAGCATCTCGGTGTGGAAGCGGCGGGTGTCAACTACTGGTACCAGGCGGGTACCAGGCTTGGCTTCCCTCCGCTTCTTGGTGTAGTAATTCTTCTTTCAAAGGATGGGCGCTGGCTGCCCTGCAACGTGGGTTCCGTAGAAGTGCCCCCACCCCCAATCTAGGGAATTCGGACGATTAAAAAGAAGACGAAACGGCAGATTTAAAACCCAGCCAAGGGGCGAAGATGGAAAAGGAAAGCAACGCACCCACTCACTATGGATCCCTGGAGACAACCAAGTGGAAAGCATCAGATCCAGGCAAAGGTGAGCTATCTGCAACATCTAGGGAACAAGAGTGACCAACTAAGTCCTTGTCCTCCGTTCCTCCCCCCCTCCCTCCCCCCAGTGAGGCTCAGAGCTGCAGGGTGATAACATGTTTGGGAGCAGAGCTGTCTTCCGTAGTAACGGCACAGGGAGGAGACGCAAGCTGAACTCAGGAGTAGGGAAAAAAAAAAAACCAAAACAGAGCCAGTCCCTGCTCATTCACAAAAAAGCTTCTGGCATGGATTCTTGCAGCCTGCTGGGCGCGCTGAACGGGCAACGCTAGCATCTTGAGGAATGCCCTAGTAGCATCTGTATATGGATTTTAGGGACATGGAAATGAGAAATCCTGTGGATTTCCTTGGAGGTAAATCACATGTTTGAATGTTCCCTATCCTCCCTGGGGTAAAGCTGGGGACACTGGGGGTTAATTGGTGTTCCCCTAACTGGCTTTGTTAATTTACTGAAAGTACAGTTATGAAAGTACCTCCTGTGTGCCCCTGCTAAAATTTTACTCCTCCTTTGATCAACTAAACACTATCCGTTCTGGTTCCTGTTTTTGTGAATGGACATAACCAAGTAAGCCACAAAGGAGCTCTGGCAATAGATGCCATGGAACAGATGGAAAACTTCCTGAATGGCCACAAAGACCTGGTGAACGATGCCTCCCCTTTCATTTGCCTCCACCCCCGCTGCTTTAGAGTGGTAACTGTGCCTTGAAAGTGCAGTGCCATTGTTCAGACCCTGAGTACAGTGTGGGTGAGTGGTTAAAGCAGCAGTAGGGGATCGAGTTGCTGGGGCTCTATTCCTCCATGCATCCTCTCCTTTGCAAATTTTACAAAAATGTTTTAAAACTTTGTTTAGCTTGCAACATCAATACATTGTCAAGATCATAATAGAGAGAGGTTGGAGGCAGAAAAATGGCACTTTTTAGGGTGTTATGAGACTCCATTTTTCTGAACACGAGTAGCATTCTGCTTGTAGGTCATCATAAAAAACCCATCTACTTACTGTCATCACTGTTTTTGCAACTGGAGTCATAAACAGAAAATCCTTGTCCTACAATAAATCTTGTTCCACAGGAAAACACAGAAGAGTTTAAAGGCTGCTACTGCAAAAGTTGTCATGTGATTTGACAACAGCTGCTAGAAATGTTGCCACAAAATCACCCTCTAGAAATTACTGCTTTAGCTATAAAAAGAATGACGACATTTCACTGGTAGCATGGATGCTTTTTTCTACTAGGTTTGTTTTCTGCATGTATGAAGCACATCTGGTTGGGTGCTTTTAATTTGCATTGGTTTCAGTAGGGCCTAAAAGTCTTCTTGGCCTCTCACATGGCCCAGCCCAAAATTTGGGACCAGAATCAGCCACTTAGTTATTGCTTGCCATCAGGAGCAGTCTTAACCAAAGGGCAACAGGAACAGATGCCCAGGGCCCTGTGCTTGGGGTGGGGTGGGCTCCGACTGCTTACAGTGCCACCCCCTCAAAGGAAAAGAACAAGAAGAGCAGGCTCCTGCCACCACTTGAACCTGCCCTTTCTGGGACTTGGGCAGCTGACTTCTGGTGGCAGCAGTCTCTCCTGCCCACCTTGCACTGGGCAGGGGCCACTCCTTGCTTGTCCCCAGTGGGGGGCAGCAGTGAGGGTGGCAGTGATTCTGAGGCCCCCATCCTGCACTTTGCTCCGGGCCCCCCAGGATTCTAAGCCAGCTCTGACTACCATCAACTAAGCCACCCAGAATATGATGCTGCATCCTTGACTGTGGTGCTAAGGCCCCGTCCCATAACTGCGTTTGCCCCAAGCCATGTAGAGGATGTTTTTCTCTTCATTAGTGGCACTCAGTTCCCAGGCACTGATCAAAGCAGCATTTAGCTCAAAGACCTGCTGTTTTCTCCAATCTGAGTCACTGTTGGAAGGTCATTTGGCTCCAGTAATGTAGCATTGATCTGGTTGCTTGGCTGTGCTGGTACATGCAAAATTAGCTGGGGATGCATGGCTGGCCTGAGTAGTCTGTAGAAAGAGGATGTGGTGGTTAGCTGGTCCCTCTGTTTGAACAAGTGATATCCCCACAGGGCTGGTTCCAGTTAGTGGAGAACACACAGACAGGTAATCTGATTGCTCTTCCCCTCTCAACAAGCAATCAAGAACAGACCCACACAGGGCTGAATATTGGGCTATTATAATTGTTCGCTCTCCTGGGTTTTCCTTTGTGGAAAAGGAAATGATGATGACAGTGCAATACCCAGCTAGGTGTTGGTTTATTCTACCCATTATTGCAAGATATTATTACAGCAGATAGTTAACTGGCACATGACAGAGGCAAGCACAGAAAGCATGTGATATTGTTGGACTAAAATTGTCATAAGAACTAGTGAGTGGAAAATATCCTGGGTTTCAAATTCATCTTAAAAATTAGACACCTTTCAAGTAGCATGGAGGAGAGAGGAGGGGGAAAATAAGGTCTGGTCTGCATTGCTTGGCTAGGAGTATTAAGAAGTCTTTGTGTAGCGCCTGAGATCAAATAGCTTTCCCCAAACAATAACTTATAATGCAATCCTAAACAGAGTTAAACTCTTCCTCGTCCATTGAAGTTGATGGGCTTAGAAGGGTGTAACTCTGCAAGGGATAGCATTTAAGTTCATTAAATGGTGCCTCTCCTATGAGGCTCTCATGGTGTTTCCAGGCCATGTGCATTTACACAAGAAATACTGATCAGTTACTCATTGGTTGCTGGGAATTGTGACATCTTTTCCCCTCAAAGTAGCAGTTCTGCTGTGGGATACCATGTTTTCCCAGTACTTCATAAGCAATATTTTGAAAAAAGGAGAAATGCAATTTCTCCCATCAGCTAGTATTATAATTACTTCCATGTGGTTACATGAAGGTCATGAACACCTACTGGATATTGCCTAGGGTTGCTAACAGCCTGGAGAAAATGCCCTGTCCCTTTAACAGAGGCTCCATGTGTGGAAATGGGCAGGTGAAGCTCTTCATGACATGGATGTAAATAACATTAAGCCTCTATTAAATGGACAGGACAACCCCCCCCCCAATTTTGTTGGCAACCCTAGTAATTCCTGAAACATCAGGGTCTCATAACTGCTCATTCTATGACTAATGACTCCTTTATGAGCCTTTTTGTTATTTTTGAAGTCTTTATTTCAATTTTTGTTCTTTGTTGGAGGTGAGAAGCCACCCCTTGCACTAAGACATTGCTGCTATGAGAAAATGGCAGGCCAGACATGCCAGCCATGACTCTAGCCAGGCTTTTGCAGCCTGGGCTCTTTCAATCTGCTATAGAAGGCACAGGAGGAGGAAGCAAAAAAGGAAGACCAGTCAGCAGTCTTTTTGCTGTATGAGCACTCCTTCCACTTTACAGTGTGTGATGGGAAGAAGCATCAAGATGGCTAGCTATGTTAGTCTGTCTATAGCAGTAGAAGAGAGCTAGAGTCTAGTAGCATTTTAAAGACTAACAAAATTCTGTCTATAGCAGTAGAAGAGAGCTAGAGTCTAGTAGCATTTTAAAGACTAACAAAATTCGTGGCAGGGGATGAGCTAATAAATGAAATAATATGTAAATAGCACATATGCATCGATCTGTTTATTTAGAACATTCTATGCTGATCCTCCGGATAACTTCTCAAAAGGGCTAAAAAACCTAAAGCAATAAAAGAATAACAACAAATTAAACAGTAACTAGCCCCATAGCAGCAAGGTCAGAATGGCCCTTTAATTTTCAACTGTCCTGGAGGTAGGGTTCCCAGCCCCCAGGTCCCAGTGGGGCTTTAATCCGCTGCCAGCCAGCTGGCCGGTGGGGGAAACCCCACACCCAAACAGGGACATCACCATGCAATGTCCCTGATGAGATGACATAACCTGGAACTGATGTCATTGGATCGCTGATGTTGGGGGGTTATGCTCTAGTTTTTGGGCAAATTCTATGGTTTTGAAGGCAAAAAACCTCATATAGTTTTGACCAAAACTAGCGTGTCACCCCTGCATCCGTGACACGATGATGTCAGTTCTGGGTGATGTCATAACATTGTGTGCATTTTGCGTGCATGGCAGAAGATCCTGGAAAGGACCCGGGAGCACCCACCCCCACCCCCGTGGCTGCCAGGTAGGACCTGGCAATCCTACCTAGAGAGCCACTAGTAGACAGGAGCAAGACAAGCTTGCACCCATTGTTGTCATTGCCACAACCAGGCTCCCAGCTTAGCAAACTCTGTGGCACTGCTAGTCTCACCAAGGCCACTGGGTCGTCTTGCCCCAGGGCTGTTTGAATATCTAGTCCAGTTCTACAACACAGTAAAACCATCTAAGTATATTAAAGCAGGTGCCAAATAAAAGTAACCACTTCAACCAACCTTGAGAGCCCGTAAACAAGACATAAAATATAACATGGTGAAAGATATAGGCCAAGATAATAAAAAATATGTCAGCTAAGAGAAGTAGTAAAAGCTTGGGTGAACAGCAATGTTTTGGCTGAAAGACAGTAAGATAGGTGCTGAGTGAGTCTTGAAGGGGAGGGGAAAAGCCCTGTTCCTGGTTTCCATTGACATCACCTCTGCCGGTGGGGAAACAGAGATAGCACAGCCTGAGAAGAAGATTTTAACTTGTGGGCTGGACATCAAGGAGGTGGTCTTTCAAGAACCATGGCTCTAAGTTGTCTTAAAGGGCTTGGACAATAAGATCCAGCACTTTGAATTGTACCCAGAAAGAAGCAGCCAAGTAAGAGAGTAGTAAGGTCTAGAATTACTGCCACTCTCTTGACAAATGAAGATGTGTAGCAAAAGAGACATAAAGAGATAACAAGAGGAACCGCAGTGGGAGGTTTATGTCTTATCCACGGGAGTTTGGAGGGGAAAACTGAGGAGCTCCTGCCATTCTTTGAACTCCCCATCCACAAGGACTATGCCACAGAATGGCTCATTCATTTTGCAACATTCTCTATCACATGCTTCTTCTCATTTGCTGTTGACTATCGACAGCTTAGTCTTGGATCCACTTGAGGGACATGATATGAAGCTGGAGAGGCTATAACTGGCTTGGCAGCAGAAACCTTCAGAATCTTTGTCTTGGCTATGCTGGGACAAATTTGAAATAACTTCAGTAGAATCCCTGAAGCAGTTTTTGACCAACGCCTGAGATCTATTGACTCAAGACACTATAGTACATATCTGTCTGATGTTAATTTCTTTCTCCCATCCGTTTATCTAACAGTTCTTTCCTGTTGCTTTCAGAGGATGAAATAGTGTCCATGGCAGACTCCACAACTACCCTTGATGATATTGAAGGGGAGCTCTTCAAAATCGAGAGGATCCGTGAAGTCCTGGTGCGGAGGGAGTCAGAGCTCAGATACATGTGAGTTAGGGAACATGTGGGAGGGCTAGGGTTGCCAACCTCCAGGATGCACCTGGAGATCTCTTGCTATTACAGTTGATCTCCAGGTGACCAAGATCCATCCCCCTGGAGGAAATGGCCCTTTGGAGGTTGAATACTATGGCATTATACCCTGCTGAGATCCCTCCCCAAACCCTCTCCTCCCCAGGCTTCACCCCCCAAATCTCCAGGTATTTCCCAACTCAGAGCAGGCAACCCTAGGCAGAGCAAGATGTAAAAGTCTCTTCTCATTTCACCTCCTAGTCTGTAAAGTTGCGAGAGAGAGGTGTTCTCTCAGGTAGCATACAGCAGCTCCTTAGTTTAGTGCAGTTATGCAATCACAGCCTATCACCACAATGGAATCTTAGGAGTACAGAGAAAATTAGGGCACAGCCTTCCACCCTCAAACTGTTGAGACCCTAATGGGGCAAAAACCAACTCCCCAACCCCATTTCAGGTTGGAAAAATGGTGCAGGGGGGAAGCTAATCCCCCTTTCTATTGCCCCCCTCATCAGGATTGGGCCTCTGTGTGTCTTGATTTTAGGAGGAGGAGGAGGAGAAACTGAGAACTCCATTCACTGAACTCCCAGTGTCACACTTACTTCATTCACTTATGAAACTCCTCCCAAAGTTTCTGTGGACTATAAGTTCCCCACCCACCCACAGTCTATTATTTAGGAAACTCAGCCCACCATCATTCTGGAAAAACGTCTGATATTATCACTGTTTGTTTCTCTTCTCTAATATCCTGCCAACAAACTAGGGTTGTCACGTCTCCCAGGCCATGGGCAGGAGATGTGGGCTACTATTGCCAGATCCAAGTTGGGAAGCACCTGGAGATTTAGGGATGGAACTTGGGAGGACAGGGACCTCAGTGAAATACAATGAGTGTATCCCCTCCAAAGCAGCCATTTTCTCCAGGAGAACTGATCTCTGTAGTTTGAAGATGATACCCAGGTCCCACCTGAAGGCTGGCATCCCTATAACAAACCCAAAGCATTCTTGGAATAGTTTACAAACAAAATAAAGAGCAAAAATAATAATAGGAAGAAGATAAGGACAATGATATAGTTTAAAACAGCAGTTATAAGATACTGGAAGCTGCTATGCTGTAAGGCAATACCCTGTCTCAGTGGTTTACAAGCTGTGTCTCACATGACCCTGGGTTCCTCAAAGCAAAGGCCAGGAACAGTGAATAGCTTCTCATAGGATAGCTTGACCACTATTAACTATCCTCCTGTGTGCAGCCAGAAGGTGTTGAGTATACTCATTTTGTGTGAGATAACAGCAAGGCAGCCCAACATGAACTCAATTGGTTGTGCTCCTTGACTACTAGATGTTCATCCAAATCTCTCCAAAGAGCCTACATGCATACAACCTATGTTAAGGTAGGCTTCATGGGGTTTGTCCCTGCATTTTTTAACCAGGGTATAGATCCTGTAAATAGAGTCTACAGTGTGGACATGTATGGCCTCTATGTAAAAACTAGGATGAAAGGAGGACTGATTCCCAGCTCCTCATCCAGTATACTCAGAATGTAGTACATTGAATAGGGGTTACTATGCAGCAATGAAAGTATTTCGGCAGTGGTTCTTCTGAAATACTAAGGGTGATTTCCCACAAGGGCTGCTCTGCACTCACTCTTCTCTTTGGCCCGATGGTACCATGGGGGAAATCGCACAAAGCTGTGGGGCAAAATGCGGCCGTGCAGTGGCTTGTTTTAAATTGACATGTACCATCGGGGCAAAAGGGAGGAGCAGCTCTTGTGGGAAATCAACCTGAATTTTTTTCTTGTCCTCTTGCACTGGGCAGTGTTTTCTCATTAGGGACAAATAAGGTCATGGACCTTTGGATTAAAACTCAGCAGCTATTCCAGACCATTTATAAATGGCTCTAGTTCTTCCCTTCTGCTTTTATAACTTCTGCTCACAAACACAGACACACACACAAATCCAGTTTGTTAAAATGTCTGATCTGTGAACATGACTTTTAAATGGTGAGCATTTCCATCGAATGGCTGTCAATGTGAGAAGTTTCATTAGTTCTATCAAGTGGATAGAGGTATCAAAGCTGGCAAGCATTTAGCTACAGATGCTGATGCTAATCATGTATCAAGGGAAAGGTGGTGGGAAAGATAGGCAATATATTTAAATATTCTCCCCTGGAGAATAACAAAGGAGTTGTTTCCTAGCCAGAGGCAGAAGAAGAGCTGTAAAAACAGGCAGCATTAACCTCAGATCATTTACCATGGCGTTGTACTGGTGTCTGAGATGAGATTTGGGTCTCCCTATGAATGATATCTGAATTGTACTGCTGGTTCAAACCAAGGCCCTTCTAGGTCCACTTTTCTATCTCAAGCAGTGTCTTTGAAAGGTCACGCTGCCGATTCCTCCACAGATTTCACAGCCTACCACAGTGGCAACTTCATTGGGAGATTCTGAGTTCTAGAATTAGAAGAGGGAGGGGGAAGGCTTCTATCTACTTTTTCTATCTGATTCATAATGTTATAACGCTGCAATAATATCTTTTTAGTCACCATTCTCCATTCATTAATAGGTCTCAAATACTTTAGCTTGTCCTCATAGGGAAGATGCTCCAAGCTCCTGATCATTTAAGTCTCTCAGCATTCTGGTTGCCCTCTTCTGGATGCACTCAAGCTTGTCAACATCCTTCCTAAAATGTGGTGCCCAAAACTGGACACAGTGCTCCAGGTGAGGCCTGACCATAGCAGAATAGAGCGGAACTACCACCTCCCGTTATCTGGACACAATACTTCTGTTAATGCATCCTAAGATTGCATTAGCTTTCTTCACAGCCACATCGCACTGCAGGCTCATGTTTAGCTTGTGATCAACCAGAACACCCAGATCCCTTTCACATGTGCTGCTCTCAAGCCAAGTACCTCCCATTCTATATCTGTACCTTTGATTTTTTTGTACCTAAGTGTAGGACTTTGCACTCCTCACTATTGAAATTCATTTTATTTGTTTCAGCCCACTGTTCCAGCCTATCTAGATCATTTTGAATCCTGACTCTGTCTTCTTTAGAATTAGCAATCCCACCCAGCTTCGTGTCATCTGCAAATTTGATAAGCATCCCCTCTATGTCTTCCTCCAGGTCATTCTGTTCCGTTTGCACAAGGTATATCCTTCGATCGCTGTGCTCCATATATGAGACTCATCCCACCAAGTCTCAGTGATACCTATCAGATCATACAAACTGTCGTGAGAATTGGGGACACCCCCCCCCCTGGTCCCCCCAAAGGGTTTGGAAGCTTTTGGTGTCGGCCCCTTTATGAAGGGCTATGTGGTGATGAAATGGGGAAACAGTGCTGCTGGAAAACAGCACCTGGACACACTCACACAGTCAACTATAGCAAGCAAGCTCTCTTTATTAAAAGGTTAGTGATAAAATGTAACAAAATGTTGGGCTCAGCCTGCCTAGTGCAAGGCTGAAGTCCAGTCTTAACAAAACAATACTCTATTTCTTATAGCAAGCATACACATACCACAGATAGCACACAGAAACAAAGTAAGAGACACACAGAGAACAGGGGCCCCTGGTTCCAGTCAGAGCAACACAGAGAGCGCTCGTCTCTCAATGTTCCACCGAGTGGACAAAGATGGCTTGTGAGGGGCCCCAATTTGTACAGATACATCAAAGCATTTCCCAAAAATTGACACCTCAGTGAATTACATGAATCTTTACTTCAGTCATTGGTTTGATATGTAATAGCTGTTCTCTTGAAGTCAAGGCACTGGGGAACAACATTGTTTTCCTAAAGATGTTCCCAAGCACTTTACAACTTGACTTATTACATTTGCAATTGACAGCTTCAGGATGCTTCTCCGTGTTCCCAGAGATGAGATAACAACAGACCTCAGGCCTGGTGTCTGTTATGTGAAAGGGGGTGTGAAAGGCTAGGGCCCGGTTCACACTAACTCAAGCTAATAGAGGGGCTTTTGACCATTTGGCTATTGCATTCCCAAACCTATTGACTACTAAATTACCCCTACCCTTATAAGGTAAATACTCAAAGGGACAGATCCTCTGAGAAAAAGAAAACCTGTCTCTGTGTTCCCAGGGCAGAGAAAACAGGCCAAGCAGGCCACTGCAAAGACTCATGGGACAGGAAGCAAGAGTCTGGTATACACAGATCCATTTAGGAGAGCCAAACTTAAACAGGAGAGAACCTTATATGAAAAATTCTCTCCACACTTACTTTCCAATATTTGAAGTTCAAGTTCCTCCTGTTTATTTCCCATACTCTGTGCATTAGTATAAAGACATTGCAGATTACAGACATCCTTTCCTACCATAGGTCCTTTCGAATTTACCTGAAAATGGCTGAATTTACTCTCCCATTCATTTATTCTCTGGTCACTCCCCTTCTTGAATTTAGTGTTGAGGATGCTGCACGACATCAGGCTTTTTCTTCCCACCCCCAATGTCTTGAGTTTAAAGCCCTCCTGATCAGGTTCACAAGTCTTTCAGCAAAAACATTCTTCCCATTCTTTGTAAGGTGCACCCCATCCGTCGCCAACAGTCCTTCATGTCAGAGATACATACCATGGTCCCGGAAGCCGAATCCCTCTCGACTGCACCATCTACATAGCCAGCCATTCACCTCCAGTATCCTGTTCTCCCTTCCAGCTCCATGGCCCTCAACAGGTAAAATGGAGGAGAACACCACCTGTGTCCCCAGATCTTTTACCTTCTTGCCCAGAGCTTCGTAGTCTTTGGAGATCCATTCAAGGTTTCTTCGGGCCATATAATTTGTTCCCACATGGATCAGCAGTGGCGGGTAGCAATCAGAGGTCTTGACCAGTCTTGGAATTCTCTCAGTCACATCTCGGGTACACGCTCCAGGAAGTCAACAAACCTCCCAAGATTCCTTGTCCGGTCTGCATACAACTTCTTCCGTCCCTCTCAGTAGGGAGTCACCAACCACCACTACTCGTCTCTTCTTCCATGGGATAGCT